TATAACATAGAACTGTTATGTAATTATATGTTATATGTGTTACATGGATACACAGTATACACACACACGTATATATACACAAGTTTATACCTGGCTGATCCCGAACCTGTGCATGAGGTAAGGCATGCTCCTCAGCTTACCTGGGTGGGGAAAGGAGTGGCCTGCATGGCTGTGTCCTCTTCTGCATAGGCCAAGATCGTCCTCAAGGATCTTCTCAGGTACTCCTCGTTAAAGTCTGGTGCTTTGCCCACCAAAGATGCCAGAGACATGATTACTTGCATCTTCACTCTTGCAAAGTTCTGCGTCAGGAAGAGGAAAAGATGGACCAAGTAAGAGACACTCAGCGAGCAGCTAATGGAAGGCAGCGGAGCCAGACACCAGGAGCTCCCCAATGTTTTCTTTTACCCCGTCTCAACCGTTTCCTTTCCTCTCAGTGAAATGTGAGCTCTACTTTGCACAAGATTCATATCATTGTTTAAATGGTTTAAATGGATATTGCTCTGACATAAATCTGTCAGCTCCCTTTAAATTTTCATTGAGGACTGGATGCCCTCCATGCTGTAAGGCTGGGAGGGTCCTACAAAGTTGGGTCTCAAAGACGGATCCTTTTGTACCAAGATTCCTCTTCTTGGGACTTGACTTTAGCTGGACAAAGGAACAGTATCCCCACGGCCACGCCTTCTGAGATTCTGGACCCCGGACAGGCAGTGACTTTCTGTTTCTCCCTCCCTTCTCGCCCTATGGAAAAATATTGTTATCCTGGGGGCCCCCGAGAAAATGTCCTAAATATTTTCAATAGTTATGCCTAACATATGGTGAGGACCCTGTCTTTTTCCCATGGGCCAATTTATCTTTTAAGATCTCTTGGGCATGCTCGTTAACATAACCACAAATGTAAATAATCTAGATAAACGAAAATCTAGATAAATCTAAATAAACCAAAATCTAGATAAACTAAAGCAAAGGTTAACTCTTCTGCAATAAAGCATAAATCCAAAAGCTGCAAAGCTTTGATTAAAATTCAGATGATACTGATCATTCAAGTTCTCCTCCGCAGGTCAGTCTGGTACCATTCAATCAGAATTTGGAAACAAGACAAACGCTTCTGAATTCTTAACCCGCCTGCTGTATTTTTCCCCACAGAGGACAACTTTTAATCTACCTATATTCATTCACTTGTCCTTGAAACACACAGATGGAAACCATGGCATTCATCAGTCTCCATCTTCACTTCTGGTTGCAAACTCAAGAGCTGCCATCTATCTACAGCATCAATTGTCTCCTTCACACGGGACAGAAGGAAATGGCGATCCCGCACACTTTTCCTCAACCAGCGCTTTGCACTGACTTTCTCTACTGATTCTGGGTCACCCCGCCGGTGTGAGCTCTTACACTGGTGGCTCCACAGCTGAACCTCATGAGGAGGTAGAGGGTGGCGCAGGCTTGGCTCCGGGTGCTGTCCACACTGCTGCTGCAATGGTGTAAGACTCGCTGACACAGGTCCGCACACTGTTCCACCTCCTCCTCAAACAGCAAATCCCCGAACTAGGAGAGACACAGAGCCCGTGAGGCATCCCTGGGCACTTCCATATTTTTTTCCTGGACTGGATGCCTGTTGAAATGGGCAGTGTCTGCTGGGACAAGCAGACAGCCCAGAAGAGTTTATGCACTGCTCCATAAAGATAATGAGCTCCTTGAGTCAGAAGATGAATGGAAGCAACGGAGTCGACCTAAGAGCTAATTGTGAACTGCACAACTAAGATCAGGGCTGCGTAATTCACCGCATCGTTAGCCAGGCTGCATTCACCGGCAAAGCCACCTCTCTGCAGGAATGAGCCTGCGTTTACTGAGCCCCCTGGAAATTACTGGTGACTAAGAAAGAGAAAATAGGGGTGCCTGGGTAGCTCAGTCATTAAGCGTCTGCCTTCGG